TTATCTCCTAACTCTTGGTAAGAATGGTGTCTGTGGTCCTCGAACCACAGGCTGTTTCTTCCTTCATTCCACAACACCCCATTCAATGGGACCGAGGATCCACTCAGAGCCACAAAGATGGGGCTCCCTCCTCCCTGAGCTGCCAGTGGGAGAGGCAGACCACCAGCATTTCCCATCCCACTCAGCTCCATGTCACAGAGGCTCAGTTACAGGCACGTGTGGCCGAGAGGCTGGAGACTCCCTTCGTCCACATTCCCTCCACCCGCAGAGTCGAAGACCTATCCCGCGCGTGGCAGGCGGAGGACACTGGCGCCCTGATCACCCCGACCCAGTTCACACACAGGGCAGAGGTTCCATGCTAGGAGAGGCAAAAACAGCTGAGTCTGAGGCCTCAATGCAGCACCCTACTCCTGAAGGAGAGGGGCTCACTCAGAAACAAGACAGCATGCCCACCCACAGTTCCAAAGTAGTGCCACGGTGATTTTTCACAGGGAGAAAGACAGACTCTAGGAACAGAGCCAGGAAGCTCTCCCCAAGGGAACTCAACTTTATTTGGAAGTGCGCTTGAGGACGTTTAAGCGTAAGTACACTCTCAAAAGAAATGGATTATCATGCTGAGTAGTTAAGAGAAAGGCAATAGCTAGACGAGAGCTATCTCCTGGGCCTTGGCCCCCCCTGCCCCCCAAAAAGGAGCAATTAGCCCACAATGAATGGAGCTTATCAGCTGGCTGTCCGCAGAGACAGACAGTAGTTCAATCAATGATCAGGGAAAGACAGGTAAAAGAGAACCCTGCTAACCACTGTCAGTCATTCCACAGTGACAACACACTTGTCTAGACTAGCACCCTCTGTGAAGTGACTTCAGAGGCTTTGCCCTGCAGAGGAAAAAGACTTTGTGACTTTGCTCATGTATGTTAGTGAACAAGGACACAGTCAGCCCTGTGGAGGAGAGAGGGAGTCAGCATCTGGAACTAACAATTTATCTAAAATACAGTTTTAACAACAAATATAAAGACATGCCTCCAAATAGGAAGGTGTCATCCATACAAAGTATATAAAAAAAAAAGGCAAATACAAATAGCCTGTGAGATGCTGCACTTAGCAGGTAAAACTTCAAATCAGGTATTATAAATATGTTCAAAGAACAAAAGGGTATCGTCGAGTAGGTCTCTACAGCAATAGTCTTTGATCCTGCCTCACTGTGCTGTTATTTTACTGAACTGTCTCCATTAGAGGACAGGCACTGACATCTCCTGTTATTCAATCAATCCTGCATTGATCAAACATCTTCCACCTAGTACCAGATTTCTCTGCACCAGTTTGAAACAAAACTCTGAAAGAATTGTCTGTACTGCACTACTTGTGTGTCTAGTTTCTCTCGCCTCCCATGCCCTCCGTAGTCTACTTTTATCAGGATTTATCTCCACAAAACCACAAAATACTTTTACTAAGGTCACAATGACCCTCCACACTTCCAAATCCAATGGGGGACTGTCTTCTTGGGGACATTTGTTCAATTGGTTTTCAGAAACCATTATCATCAAGCAAACCCTCTCATTTTCCCCACTTTAAAATCCTAGATCCATATAGCCTCCTTCCAAGTGGTAAAAACGTTCGAGTTCAAACCTCATCAAGGTGATCCATTCCATAGGGGACTTCCAGCCCCATAGCTTCAAATATCATGTATGAAAACTTACACATCTATACATCCAGCCCAGAATATTCTCTTCAAATCTGGACTTGTACATCTGAACACCTACCTAACATCTCCACTCATATCAAAATACACATCAACAGTAACATATTGAAATCAAAGTTTTGGTTGTACTCATACCACACCCCCCACAACTTGCTCCTCTACAAACTTCTACACCTGCATAAACATCTACTCTATTCTTTTAGTCCTTCTTACCAAAAACCTTGAAGGTCATCATTGATTTCCCCTCTTTAATATTTCAGATTCAACCCATCAGCAAAGCTCAGGCTCAAAATATCCCCTTATCTGCCCACTTCTCACTGTGTCTACTGCCAGAATCTGAATCCAAGGCATTCATCTTCCCTCTCAGACTGCACACCAGTCAAAAGCCATACAGACATCAGTAATTTTGACTGTATTAAAATTCTTTAAATGCCTGTTCATCACAAAATAGTACTAACAATTTTTAAAAAGAATTTTAAAAAGAGATAATCATTACAACACATATAACATATACTTCACAAATTATTGATTTCCAAAATATGTAAATAACTACAACACCTCAGTGTTTATTTGAAAACTAGAAACAGGGGCAAAAGACTTACCTGAATAATTCAATAAGAACACATAAACCCCTTAAATATAGGAAGAAATGCCCAACTATTAACGAAATGACAGTTTAAGCCACCAAGAGAAAGCATTTTCCACTAACTGAATTAGAAAAACTTAAGTAACAATTTCAAGTCATGGTGAGAGTGTGGAGCAAACTCTTGTTAATATACTTCTGATGAATGTAAATTGATACAAATTTAGAAAATAATTTAGCATTATCTGGTAAAGCTGGTAATATGTATATAGAACCTAGAGAAATCCTTGCACATGTGCACCGGAAGACATAATCATGCTAAGCAATGTTTGCAGTAGCAAAAACTAAAAACAAATATCCACCAACTGTAAACAGATGAATTGTGATCTATAAAGCAGTGATCATGAATGTATTATAACTGCAAATTCACATGAACACATCTCCCCAAATATATTGTGCAAAATTATACTATCAAAATATATTCAAGGCAAGTTAAATATCGTATGGACACATCAATTATACCTCAATAAAAAAATAACGTGTAAATAAAATCATAATACCTTACAACTATGTTCTTTAGGGATACATGCTACAGAACTGAAGAAAAAGGCAAGAGAATAATAAACCAAGTTCAAGGTAATGTTTATCCATCTGGAAGGAGTAAATGCAATCAGGGCAAAGACACCATTTCAGAATGACTAGTAATGTGCTATTTATTATACCAGGTGGTAGATCTGTAGGTGTCCAAAGTCCTCTGCATGTTTTCATTATTGTTAGAAAGAAGATTTCTAAGATGTGTATTTCGAATACTGAAAACTAACTTCTCAAGAGTAGAGATCCTCCATAACTGAGACATCATTACGGTAGGATTGGTAAACCACAGAAATTACTAGCTTCTTTTCTATGGAAGCCAAAACATCAGTTGGAAAGTAGCACAACATAAAGACTAGCAAAAGTGCAAGGTGGCTACCAACCAGCTTCCTAAGTCCCACTGAACAAAAGGCTCACAGGAAGGGTCACAGGCGAAAGTAACTCCTTTGTCCAAGTATCGACAAAGTCAGTTAGCTGCCTCTAAAACACAGCTACCTGAAGTTTGTTTTATGAAGCCTAATTCCCAAGTTATCAAATGCACTGTCTCCTTGGGAATTAGCCTAAGAAGCTCCAAATGGAAGCTTAACAGCTCAGCATCACAGTGATTACCTGCCTCTCAGGCTAATCTATCAAGCATTCCCACATGTCAATACATGGAAACCATCAGATACAAATCATTACAATATGCAATAATGAA